ACTTATTCCCCTCTCTTATTTTTCACTGATCTCACAGAAGTTGAGAAGCAAGCAAGGAAGGAGGGTCCGCTTGGGAAACTGGGAAACTGAGGCTCAGGGAGGCGTGTCAGTAGCACAGTATGTGGCCGGGTGGAACTCAGGGAAAGACGGGCTCGAGGGTTCTCAGTGCACAGGGCATGGGAGGGTGATGGGCCACAGAGGAATGAAAAAGGTAAGACGGGCAATGGGAAGGCTCTCAAGACACCCTGGACAGGATATCTTCACCCCTCTGCACCTGAGGCCTAGTAGCCCAAACAACCACTAAAAGACAAAGGAGGGGCCGGTAGGTGGCGTGGTGGTTAAGGGTACTGAATTCCCACATGGCTGACCACGGTTCGAGTCCCACACCTGCTTCTTGCTTTCTCTTTCTCTCTCTGTCCCTCTCTGGTCAAATTAAAATAAATAAATAAATAAAGTTAAATAAAAATCATTATTTTTAAAAAGTGTTTAAGAACTAAGGGTGGCCCCATGCCCTCCTTGGGCCTCTAGTCCGACATGGGTGACCCCTCTCCTGCTGGTTTCCCACTCTCCTTTGGGGGCACTGTCCTGGTGTCAGTGCCCTCCGCTGCTGGGCACCCCTGCCGGAACCTGTGCTGTCAGTGCTGGTAAGGACAGCCTGATCTTTCAATATGCTGCCGTTGACTAACTGAACAGGGCTTCAAAGCCCGCAAAGTCCTCTCACTCTTACTAGCACCACCATATCTGGCCCCAACAATCAATCATTGAGGCTTGTGGATCCCATTTCCCAGATGAGGACACCATCAAATGCAGAGAGATGAAGCATGTTGTCTAACGTCACACAGCACAGGCCTGGAGCCAAAACTGCATGCTTCCTGACACACTGGCTCCTCAAAGCTGACCTCCAGAGCCTTATACTGCCAGGCTAGGCCAGTCCAGGCCACTCCCTGTTCAAGGCTGAGATCCGTTCCGAGATCGGAAAGCCCAAAGCAGAGCTGTTGTGGCAGGAGCGAGCCTCCCTGAGACTGCCCGAGCCTGCTCTGGGCCAGGTCCGTGGTGCAGATGGCACCACGCTCCAGGAAGAGGAAGAATGGAGGGGCCATAGGGAGGCAGGTTGTTCAGAGGGCCCATGGGGGCGGGGGCGGGGGCAGGCCAACCACAGCTCGGCAGGCGCCACAGGAAGGGCCCCTCCTCTGCCTGTCAGTTCTACCAACGGCCCCAGCAGCTGTGGCCCAGCCAAGGGGAAGCTGCAACTCTCAAAAACAAAAACCCCAAAGGAGGAACTTCCCTGGCTGCCCTGGAAGACCGCTGGTACCCGCCCCCAACACGGGGCTCCCTGGGCTGATTGCCAGGGGCTGGGAGGTGCAATGGGTCACAGCCCAACCTGGAGTAGCCTCTGTGACCACCTGGGGGCTCCGGCAAGCTGCTCTGCCCTGAGTGGATGGGAGGCCAAATCTGGGAGAGGGGAACACAGTCTAGCAGGTGTGAGTAGGGGTAGTGGGGGACAGAAAGTCAACCCCAAGGTTCTCCTATCCCCACGTCCCAGGCCTAAGTGTCTGGACAAGCAGCGGGGAGTCCTCCAGAGCTGCTGCTGTACTCACCCAGCTTCTGGGAGAAGATCTTCTCAAAGGTCACCTCGCCCCGGTCCTCCAGGTACTTCTGCATAACGCTGCGGATGCTGTGTGACAGGGAGGTGTGTGAGCACGAGTCCCTGGAGCCCAGCAGGCTGCAGGCCTAGACACCTCAGTTGAGGTACCACTGGGGGCTGTCAACACTCCCTCTAAAAAAGTGGGTCCTCTGTTGGGCCTCCTCGATTATCCTGATCACAGGTTACATCAGAGAGACCCATAAAAGCTTATGCCTGCCCACCAGTGCTGTTCCCAAAGGCCAAGGTGGCTAGCAGATGGCCTCCTGCTCGGAAGCTCACCGCCTGCACAAAGCTGGCCTCGGTACTGCTTCATGCTGGCTTCAGAAACTTGGCCCAATTGCTAAAGCCAGGTCTTGTCTATCAGCAGATGAACAGATAAAACGTGGTCCATCCACACAACACTAAGAGGAATGAAGTGCCGGTACATGTTACAACACAGACGAATCTCGACGGCATTATGCTACAGGAAAAGAGGACAGCCGTGAAAGGCCACATACCGAATGATTCTGTGCACACACAATGTCCAGACCAGGCAAATCTACTGAGATGGACAGCAGCTTCGTGGCTGCCAGGGGCTGGGGGAGGTGGAGGGAGTGACTGCCAGTGGGTACAGAGTGCCTGTCTGGGGTGAGTGTGATGTCCTGGGATTAGACTGGGGTGAGAGTTGAATGTACTAAAAAACACTGAAATGCACATTTTAAAGTGATGGATCTTTTTGTTATATGAATTGTATCTCGATTTAAAACAGTAAAATAAAGAAGATGGGAGGCGACTGGTTCCTTGACACACTAGTAATGTGCTCTTCAAGAGAGGTCAGATCCCACATGGGGACCACTACTCAATTCCTTGGCCCCGTCAGCCTGAAATACACCAGGCGCAAGTGTGAGTGCCTGAGTTCTGATGGGCTGCAGGACTGGTGGAGGGAGACCACTGTGTGACCAGGCCCTGTGGAAGGTGTAGTCTCTCTCTCATATACACTCTTGCATGTATGGACATATTTCCTATTGCAAATAAAGAAAAACTTTCTTTTTCAGTTTTGATAAAGCATATGAACTTGAGAGACAGAGCGAGTTAGGGAAATCACCTGCCAGGAGGGGTGACCACACGATTCCCTCTCCTCTTGGAATTTTGGGCATGCGTATATGCCTGCCATATCTTTCAAGCCCCTAGGGTCCAGGACTTGAACCATGAAGTTGGCTATGTGGGATCCAGCTGCCCCAACCACGCCACCAACTGGACCAAGAAAAAAAAACTGTAATGTAGGTTTTCTTTTTTTTTTTTTTAAATGAAATAGAAAGTTAAAGTTCCAGTCCCCGTGTCCCTAATACTTATATAAAAACTCTGACCTTCTACTCTGGATTGCTTGGTAGGGCCACAGGGGAAAAGCCAATGTGATCTCCACAGCCCAACCCCACACTCCCTGCCTGGTCAATCTCGCCTGAACCCTGAGCCACATCAGCCTCACTCCATGCTTCAGACCCCACCTTGCTGTCTCCTCTTCCTCTCTCCCATGTCACTCTTAGCCTAGGTCTGCTGGCTTTTTACAAAAGCCAACTGAGATCACATCTGCCCCTTGCAGGCCAGGGCTCCTGAGGAAATGCTTACCTGCCAATACTGGGTGTATGCACTGGGCTAGGGATCATGCTAAACTGTCTTGTCAGAGCCCGAATCATGGTCTCACAGCCCTGTATGGTATATGGCCACCAGCAGGCCTCTAAGGAAGAGATTGTGAGATTCAGACTTGTAAGTCCAGGGTCTATGTGCTCAGCACAGGCCCCCAGGGGGCCTAGCATGAGACTGGCTGGCCTAGTCACCCAGGCTGTAGTCAGCAAGGCCTCTGCACATCTACACACAACACATGTCACATAAAACCCATGCCCCACCCTGCAGGCAGTCCAGCCCAGGACACGGGTCTGCAACACGAAGTAGCCTATGCACAAGACTCAGGTGGGCCCTGTAGGCTCAAGGAGACCAGGAAAGGGGAGGCACCCTCTCGGTCATGGGAGAGGCTGTGTGGAGAAGGCGGAACCTCACTGAGTTCCTCAAGTGCAAACAGGATGTAGGCAGGTGGTGAAGCCCAGGGCAGGTGGGTGGATGTGGGGACAGGCAAGGGACAGCCCACCCAGGGATGAGCAAGAAGCCAAGGGAGCAAGAAGGACGGTGCAGCGGAGGACATGGCAGGAGAGAGGTCACACAGAGAACAGGGCCTTGGGTGCGAGGTGGGGTGGGGTGGGGGCTCAGAGCCAGGAGACAGCCTAGAAAGATTGCACTGGGGTGCCCATGAGGAGGAAGCCAGCCAGATGACACTGGGCCAGGAAGAACAGAAAGGAGGTAGTGGGCAGAAGGCTCACGCTGTTGGTGAAAGAAGAGTTTACAAGGCTGTGGTCTCACAGGATTTCCAGGCTTTAGGCCCTGGGGCCTAGAAAGACAAGGGTTCCGGTCAGAAGGGGAGTCTAAGGAGAAGAGGTTCTGGCAGGGCCGGCATGGCCTGTAGACCCAGCCCAGCCTCTGGCCTCAGCTCCTGGGAGGCGGCTCCTGCCTGTTTTTTCTCGCCAATATCCTTTCCAGAGGTCTGGAGTGGAATCCTGGGCCCCAGCCTGCCCAGGACCTTGCTTGCACTAGAGCCTTCCTCAGGAAAAGCCATGAAAGATAACATGAGAGCACGCAGAGCTGTTGTAAGCATAATCCTGAAGCCATGACCCCCTTACCCACTCCCCACCCTCAGAGGTTGGGAGATGCCGTGACCTCCTTCCTCCACAAGCTGTTTCCAACAGGAAGTAGGGTGCTGAAGACAAGGATAGGCCTTGGCGACCGACCCTGTGTTCTCATCCTGTAACTCCTTTAGCACAGACCCTGCCCAAATGGCAAAGAAGAGCCATCAGGCCTCCAGGCCGGCTCCCCCTGGGAAGTTAGGATACACCCTGCAAACCCACAGGGCTCCAAGGCAGAGATGGGCCCCTTGGGCACACAGGAACACCCCTCCCCTCCTGAGGGCCACATACTAGCTCACATCTACCAGCCACTGCCAAGGACATGTGTCCCTGGCCTCATGGGACTCACAGGGACACAGGAGAAAGAACAGAAACCGAGTTTCCCACGGTGCTGCACACATGACAGGAGCCTGAAAGCATTCTGTTAAATGGGCTGGATGGTGGTGCAGTGGTAAAACATGACATCATGAGGCTGACCCACATGGGGAGGTTCCCGGTTCAGGACTAGAGCCCTCCTTGAAACACAGGGCACATGTGTGCCCATGATCTGAGGCTGGGTGAGGCTGGATCATAGTCGATGGATCCTGTTGGGAGAGCTGCCTCTCTTTATCTCTCTTGCCCATGGAAGAAAGAAAGAAACTTTAAAAATGTTAAACTTGGAAAGACACACACAGTCCTTGCCCTTGGGGGACTTCAAACTAGAGACCTGAGCCCAAGGGAGGTCCTTGGGGGCAGTCTGCACTGAGTGACAGAATCCAGGCAGCCCAGAGACCAGGCAATAGGAGTGAGGAGGCGGGAAGCCTGCAAGGCCAGGTGCCTCGGTCTCCCTTGTATGGCAGTCCATGAGGACAACAAGGGCAGGGCCTCCCCAACCCTAAGCTCAGCTCTGGGTACTCTGCTTCTCTCCCTGATTCTTATGCAAAAAAGCAAGAAAGAAAGAAAAGCTATCATAAAGTGTTAGTCTTCCATGGCAGGGGGTGCCCAGATGGGTATGGTCAAGGGCTGGTCAAGTGGGAGAACAGGTAGATGCAGATGACGGCAAAGCTATTCCAGCCCATCTGGGTGACTCCACAGGGACTGGGCATGGCCCAGGGAATGGGGATCATGGGGTCTCACTGGGAAGCCTTCCTGAGCCCCAGACTAGCTTCCTGGGAACTGGCAAAACTCATGCCAGCTTGGCAGAGGAGCCACAAAAGGGCCAGAGACTAGTCTCTGCCGCTTCCCACCTCCTGGCTTAACTGGATCTGCAGAGGGGAAGCACACTCGCTCAGGGACCCTGCCCATGATGGCCAGGGCAACCTGTCAGGCAGGGCCTTTTCCTTCCCTGGGCCTCCGCAGTGGGCCACTGGCTGAGGGAATGTAGGGGCCAGACCCCAGGTCCCAAGGCTGCCCCTCCCCTCAGAGCCATGCCTGGGCACGGCCACAGCATTCTTCCTAGCCCACAGCACTTCACTCTCTTCCTTAAAAAGAAAAAGAAATGCTCTTTTAAACATAAAAGAAATATCCCACCCCACCCCCCAAACAAAACAAAACACAAACAAAAACCCAGATCAGGGCTGAGCAGAGTCCTTCAGTGAAGGACCCCAAAGTGGCAAGTTTAGGGTTTCCTGTCTATCTCCAAGGGGCTGGCAGCCAAGGAAGCTGGCAAGTTAGAAAAACGTGTCACCAGGGAAAACTCCCGCCAGAGTGGCAAGTCTGGGCTGGCATGGGGGCGGGGGCAGCCTCCTGGGCTGGGTCACCTTTATTCCAATACCCGCTCCCTGATACTGGTGGAGCCTGGCGTGGCACCCAGCCTGTTCCTGCCCCACCCTGGTTGACAACCCTGATACACAGGGGCACATGGCTCCCAAGGTCCACCGGACTGGCAAGAGAACCAAGTGCCTGCATGTTCTCAGACAGGAGGGTCCTACAGCTCCCAATCACCCTCTCTGGAAAAGGTCCTGGGAGCCTCTTTTGCTCTGGCAGTTGGAGGGATGTTCGAGCCTGGGTTCCAAATGACTCTCCCCACCTCCTTCTCTGGCAGGCCAGGCCAAGTCACAAAATTTAAATGTCTCGTTTCCTCATTTGTAAAATGAGGATGTCAACAAAATGATGAACTGCCACCACCACACTGGCCTTTTAAAAAGCCTGAGAGGGCACAGCATCAGGGGAAAACTCCTGAGGTGCCAGGATGCTGTGATGGCCGTCAGCTCCTGTCCTACCTCCTGGACCGTGGGACAGAGCTGCCCCGGCCCCATGCCCTGGCACCCCACAGCTCACTAACGGCCTATGCTGCTCCTTCTAGAATAGGATTGCTCATACACTGACTGGTCCTGCTCGTGTCTCTGTTCCACACTGTGTGGCCTCAGAGCACGGGGCCTGTGGCCTGGTGGGCTGAGCATGGCTAGGGCTGGGCCCGTGAGCACCAGCTGAACTGAACTGAACAGCTACAATTCTGTTTGCTCACAGGCTGGCTTTTGGCACTCTCCTCACTCTACCTAAGGGCCCCTGTGGGCAGACCGATACCTGCCCTGCCAAAGCATCAGGGACACATTTGGCGTGGAGGCATCTGATGGCGGGGAGGCCCGCCCAGCCATGGGAGACTGCTCCGGCCCCATTTCTGACACCTTTAGCTAGGGCTGCTCACACCAGCCCCAGCTGCTCCAAAAGCAGGTGCAGCCTGATACCAGGTGGGGGGGGGGGACAATTCCTCTCTCCTAGCATAGTTGACAGTGCAGGGTTGAGGTGACAGGACAATAGGCAGACGTGGGGGGAAGGGAGGAGACCTGAAGAGAACTTCCGGTACCTTCTGGTACCACGTGGTTCAGAAGACAGGCAGTCCCACACTCTGTGGCGCAGTGTTCTGAAGCCTCATAGATTCCGTCACAGGCTCAGAGACCATGGCTGGGATGGACAGCAGGAGCCAGAGGCAAACACACTCATCGAGATGGCAAGGAAATCAAGGCTAACAAGCTGTCTGGGGCCTGAGGCCCACCGGCAATTAGTGGCAAGCAAACAATCAAAGAAACATCCAAACCCTCTCTGAGAAACGGCTTCCCACCAGAGCATCCTCGGTCTCCTCTCGATCTCAGCAAAAGAGCTGGGTGAAGGGTCTCAGAGGACCCTGGCCTATGCCCCATGTGCTGCCCCAGAGACCTTTTCTTCCACCTTGCCAGGAGCTACAGGAAGTGGGCGGCAGCCCTTCAGGGAGCCCAGCCTGGGAGGCAGCCTTGGCTAGCACCTGGCAGGCCAAGAACCATGGTTCCGGTGCCCCTCATGTGACAGTGATGCTAAAGCTGTGACATCCAGAGACAGTACACACTGCTGTGGGGGCAACAGGCCACCTCTGGGAAATGACAGTTAACAAGTCAGCAGAGTGGGGCCTGTGGCTGCAGCCAAGGCACTCCCTGTGGCATTTCCAAGAAACCTGGTACCAAGGTGGCAATGGTAGGAGGAAGTCCCCTGGGGCTTCTTATTGATATTTCTCAATGACTCTCCCTGGGGCTGACAAAATCC